AGACCTCTGAATACCTCTGAAGACATCTGAAGGCGTGATCTGAAGACCTCCGAATACCTCTGAATACTTCTATAGGTGTGATCTGAAGACTTCTGAATCCATTAACTGCCATCCGTTAATCAGCTAGGTTAATTGAATTGGTGGCGTCCACTCTATGGGCATTCCTCATATGGTGGTATAGGTTAGTTTTATTCAAGAATTTCACACATTTCTCACACACAATGCTTGGTGTCGATTATAGCGAAATTTTCGCTCTTCAAAACTTTCCCACGTTCTATTGATATTGAAAGCAATCCACTCTCCAGTATTGAGACACTCTGTTATAAATCTGAAATAGCTGTGCTCTTAGAGTTCCTTAAATCTCCTGCTACCACTCTGCTAAAATTCTCCGAACAAGAATTGCACTATATTCCAGTAGAGTGTATCATTGAACATGCAGATCCCTGTGACCTATTAATGATATGGCACAAACTTCCTAAAGAATATCGCTGCAACTTTAACCTCCAAATCAGGCTGCCATGCTTCATTCATTACCATCGTCCCGATTGGACTACACACTGGGATAGACCGCCATCTTCTCAAGAGGCATGTCATTTTTGTAGAAAAGGATAACTTAAATTAATAGATTATTTATCTTCGTTTTCGTATTCTTTCACCCCCATGGGCCGCCCTGTATATATTTTTTTCAATCTTCATCAACTCAAACACCCTGTATATATTTCTTTCAACTCAAACACTCCTTCCATGCTAAAACATGGGACCGCGAACCGTGGGACACCCTGTATATATAATTTTTAATTTTTATTCAACTCAAACGCCCTGTATATGAAAATTCAATCTTGTTATTGTCATTAAAGTGTTATTGTTGCGGTTTCGATAAGCTCGCGCCAGCGCTACCCCGCTTCCCCGCTAGAACACTGGCCGCGTTCCAGTTAAGATTAAAGCGTGTATTTCCCTATGCTGGTAGTGACGGTCTCCTAGTATAACTACTTACATGCAAACTAATGTAAACAAAGCAAACAATGGCCCATACGTTAGTTATATTAGACAATGGTAGAGGGCGTACTCCTTAGCATGATTCGCCTATGATGATGGAGCCAGTGTGATGAGTGGTATGTATAATGGCGTAAAAAAACATATTAAGGATATCCAGCCTAACGCAGAGTATACGTACATTGTGCCACTCATAATTTTAATTTGAAGATAAATGATGCCGTGAGCAGCTGTGTGGAAATACAGAATTTTTTCGCGACGTTGCAAAATTTGTATAACTTTTTCGGAAACAGCATCAAACGTCGGAAGCTACTGTCAAAATTCACTGGGGAATCGGACACCACTATAAAAAAACTAAATCCGGCTAGATGGTCTAGTAGGGTCAATACGATATCTGCAATAAAACTTCGTTATTTTTATATTATCAAAGCATTATCAGAAATAGTTCTAAAGAGTCCTGATAAAGATGAGCGTAGTGAAGCAGAGACTATTAAAACAAAAATGCTAAATTTTGAGTTCGTGTTGCTTTGCGAATTCATGCACAGTGTATTGAACGACATCAATTATGCATCTAAAACTTTACAAAAATGCGACATCAATTTGGGCGAGGCGAGTAAAGTTTTAGCGGAGACCAAAGCAAAGTTCCAAATTTATAGAAATGATTTCGAATTATTAAAGTGCAAAGCCAGTGAAACTGCAAGAAAATATGGTATTGATCCCCATTTTCGAGAAAAAAGGCAAAGAAATGTTAAAAAACATTTTGATGAATTAGCTGATTTCCAAACCGAGAAAAAATATTCAGAATCAGGATTTTCAATAATGTACTAGACACATCTGCAATATCTCAATTAGATACACGTTTTATTGGTATGAGTGCAGTCTATCATATATTCGATTTTCACTTCAATTTATCAATATCCACCACCTAGTTTTACCTCAACTAACTCAAGCATGGACTGTTCACCAATTATGTAAAGGTAATAATGAGCAACTATGGAGTGCTCGAATGCGACCTAACGGAAGTATTTACAGCAATGTTATTGTTCTTTCAATTCCTGTCACTTCTGCATCAGCTGAAAAGTCATTTAGCAAATTAAAAATAATAAAAAATTATTTAAGAAATAATATGGGCCAAACTCGACTCCGACTAGCAATTGAAAACAAAACCGCTTCAAGCCTGGATTTGAACGAAGTCATTAATACTTTTGCGAAAACTAAAGCTAGGAAAAAATTGTAAATATAATTGTTATTTAGTCAGTTTGGTAGGCCCGACCTTCATATAATAAACCCTTCCCTTCCCTATTTCGTTTTATTAGCCAAACCTACACCAAGTATTAATTGTAATTTATGTTGTTACTGTTCAATATGTTTGTTACCTGCCCTGCAGTGCACAAAAAAGAGCTTAAGAAGTTAAGTAGCTTAGCATTTTCAAAGTATTTGTATATTTTCATATTTTTATTTGATAAAACCTAATCAGTTAGCATAGCAGTGGGGCCCCATTTTTTAATTTGTCCCAGGGCCCTTGGTTCCTATAGCTACGCCACTGTAACGAAGACGAGAAGGTAGTTGCTCTTGCTCCCATTTTAGCAGACTATAATAATATGGAGGAAATGTTTTGTGTATTGTAGCAGGATTGGTAGGAACTGAAAATAAGGTAACAAAAAGAGGACTATCAAGCATGGAAAGGAGTATCAATGATTATAAGCAAAATGTCCAAATGTCCGAATGTGCCGCTTGAGAGACGATGGGATCAGTCGTAGATGCATATGCCAATTCACGGAAGTTATCGAAGATTTTCTCTATGTAGTACCCGAGACCACCAAAAAAGGCCCAAAAGGCTTTGTGATACATGTGGCGTCGCATCATGTATCTCTGATCCAACAAACTTTTTTCGAAATTTCCATTAAAATAATTTATCTTGTTTGTTGTGTTGCTTTGTGGTATGTTATATATCACATTTTTTTTAGAAAAACTGATGAAATAAAAATGTCCTGAAAAATACACGTTGCTTAATTAGTCATGTTGTATCAGAGAACTCAGGGGCTCCAATTTGAAACATAGGATACAGTGCTTTGGGATTCAATAAGAAGGTTGCCAATAAATATTGCACACCCTGTGACGATTTGTGACAATTAAACTCGGCTGAAGACGCCCTTAAGGCACCAGCCGCGGCATCAAATCTTGTCCTTTTTCAACTAGTAAAACAAATAAATGTTCCAATTACGTATTGAATGACCTGAAAATATTTTACAGGCGGGGCTCCAATCTAAAATATGAAATACAGTGCTTTGAGATTCGAGAAGGTTGCCAATAAATATTGCACATCCTGTGATGATTCGACAATTAATCTCGGTTGAAGACGCCCTTAAGCACCAGCCGCAGCAGCAAATCTTGTCCTTTTCTGCCTAGTGAAACAAATAACTATTCCAATTACATATTGAATGACATGAAAATATACAAGGGCTCCATTGAAATTCAAGATAGTTGCCAATAAATATGGCACATCCTGTGATGATTTGACAATTAAACTCGGTTGAAGATGCCCTTAAGCACAAGCCGCAGCAGCAAATCTTGTCCTTTTCTGCCTAGTGAAACAAATAACTATTCCAATTACGTATTGAATGACTTCCCAGCAAACACGTTACATCACTTGGCAGTTTTGCGAAATCACAAATTACACATAGAAAGATAGCTTCATTGTGATTACGCGTATTCGTTCTAAACAAAGGTATTTTGAGACATTGCTTTGTTAACAAAAATTCGAAGAAGTAGGGATAATGATTCGGGGATATTTGAAAATATCCACACTGTTATTACCTGAGCAAGTGGTAAATTTCTGGTTAAAAAGATTGTCATGGAGCAACTTCGCAATGAACACGTTACATCACTTGGCAGTTTTGCGAAGTCACAAATTACACATAGAAAGATAGCTGCATTGTGAATACGCGTATTCGTTCTAAACGAAGGTATTTTGTGACATTGCTTTGTTAACAAACATTCGAAGAAGCAGTGATAATGATTCGTGTATATTTCAAAATATCCACAATGTTATTACCTGAGCAAGTGGTACATTTCTGGTTAAAAAGATTGTCATGGAGCAACTTCGCATTGAAATCTATTCAATAACATCACAATGTTAACAAGCATAAGATGATATTTCAATGTCTTTTCATGGGCTTCACTTCATGTTCAAAATGTGGCTATCTTTTGACGGAATGAAAGTTGTATTTATTTTCATATTCTGTGTATAAAGACGTTGAAGCTAAAGTGAGTAATATTCTGTGCCTGAACTAACTGAAATATTTCACTAGAACGACCTGAACTGACTCGTTCTTTCGAATGACTATGTACAATTATGTACAATGCATGTCAACTGATCCAGTTCAGTTCAAGTGAAATGTATTAGTTCAGTTAGTTCAGAATGAGAAAATATTACTATGGTTATATATGATTGAAAACCGGCGCCCTCTCTGAAACAGCTTTTGAAGTTTCAGCTCGAATTTAATCCGAAAGAGGCCGGCACTAGTGAATCGAAAATAACTTCTATCATATCTATAAAAACGTGATTTGAAATCAATTATTGTATCAGTATCCTATTTATCTTGAACTACTAGTACCTCGAAATATTTACGAGCATCTAGGTATTGATGCAGGCCACTGCATGGCGGTATATTCGAATTTGTTGGCAAGTCAAAATTTCTGAACGTGCACGATGCACGAAGCATTTATTAGGCTTTTTTGTTTTTATTGCTCAACTTGCTAATTGATTTTTCCCATTGTTGACTCTGTTTATGGCATATTGTAAACAGATAAAGTCATAGAAAAAAATCCAGCGAGACCCAATATCGAAAAACTCCATTCACTTTCTGGAACATGCACTATATATGAATTTTGATATGACTTTGTACTGCTCTGGTATGCTGTACACGCGAATTTGGCAATATAAGTGACTTTTTCGAATCTGGCGCGCAAAGATTTTTATAGTAGTTGGCAACACTAGTGGTGTTGGCGCCCCTACATTAACATCCAGAAACCAGATAACAGTGGAGGGCGAGGGTGAATCCACATTCCACAGACCACCCACCCTATTGACTAGTGGAGACAGGATACTGACTGGTGCCGATATTTTTGTTGGTTTTTAATTTTGATACTTGTTTTCAATAATATAACGATTATTGGTTTGTGTACATAGTTGTTCCTGCTCAAGTAGGTAAGTCCAGTTTGAAGTTATTATTTAATAATTAACAAGTCGATATGATCGGTAACAGGTACATTTTATTCATTTTAAAATGGCGGATTTATGCAACATTTACAAACTCTTTGCATGACGATAAGCACAGCATGAGCACATCATGAGCAGAAGAGTTCAAATTAATCAACTTACAGGGCTTATACTCATCTAAAATTAGTGTTATGTCTCATAATAACCAGTTACAACTTCAAATTGTGCTTGGGCTTAATAACTAATACTATAAGATTGTTTTTCTTGGAAAAGTGTACTAGTGGTAGGATACAGAAGCTTTTGATTTGTTCGGAATAATGATCAGTAGTAATATAACAGTGGCAATGAAAATTATAGACAATTTTTAGGAAATATGCATGAATGCAAGTCAAGTTGTAAAAAAGCATCAGTTCTACACTTGCATGAGTGAATATGTGTCCCCTCTTCCCTCTCAGTAGGCCTGTCTGTAATGTATATTATTCTCCCAATGGAGTGAATATTTTTCATAGAATAATGTTTGTTGGCATCAAGAAAAATCATTACTTGCAACAGTTTGTAGGGGTTTCTGAATCATTGCATGGTTTGTTAAAATATATTTTTCAAATCTGCTGAAAGGTTTTATAGTGAATTCACAGTTCAAAGCATTCAGTACAATATGTATTATTCAGAATTTGAACCAGACATCTTCAGACAATATACTCCTTATTTTCAGAACAAGAAAAATGCCCAAACAATTTAGTGAACTCAGTTCTAGGCAAAAGCATCGTCGTAGGCAGCAATTATTAGAGTCCTCGAAAAAAGTTGAATGTTCATCTTGTATAGACCAGAATCCATCTCAGAGTCCATCTCAGAATCCACCTATAAAAAGAACTGTTGAATTGCTATCTGTTCCTTCCCTTAGTACAGACATTTCTTTGGAAACATCATTCTCTCTTCCATCCACAAGTTCTAATAATACACCACCCAGTACACCACCTTTGAAAATATCACCAGATAGAAATAATTCACCTAGTACAAGTGATGAAGATATCATCAAGAATGATGGAAATTCCCTTATCACAGATTTGAGAGGATGGGCCTTAGAAAGACATATAAGCCACAATGCCTTGTCCCAACTCCTGGAAATATTGCATAAACATGAAATTATTCATATTCCCACAGATGCTAGAAGTTTTTTAAAAACACCAAGAGAAGTGCTCACCATTCCAATGGAAGGGGGTAGCTACTGTCATTTTGGTTTGAGGAATAATATTCTGAAAAGCATGGAGTCATATTATACTGCTGCACCAGCAAAAATAAAATTGAACTTCAATATAGATGGACTTCCTGTATCGAAAAGTTCTCAGAGTCAATTTTGGCCAATCTTAGGTTCAATTGTGGAGAATTTTTATACTGAGGTTTTTTCTATAGGCATATTCCATGGCTATTCAAAGCCAAAAAATGTGAATGAATTTTTAAGAATTTTTGTAGATGAATTGGTTGATATCTTGAATACAGGATTAGAATGGAAAGGTAGAAATTGTCCAGTTGAGATCAATGCTTTCGTTTGTGATGCCCCTGCTAAAGCATACATAACATGTATCAAAACACACAGTGGTTACTTTTCCTGCGGAAAATGTATCCAGGAAGGAGATTATGTTGATAATCGTGTGATTTTTCCAGAATTGGGGAGTTCTTTAAGAACAAATGATTCCTTCAGGAAAAGAATCCATGAAGAACATCACACTGGCACATCAATTCTTGAGGAGATTGAAAGTTTCAATATGGTGTCTCAATTTGTTTTGGACTACATGCATTTAGTTTGCCTGGGAGTGATGAAAAAAATTATTAAAAGAATTGTGAAGGGTAGGGCAATACAGAGAATTCCAGATATAGAGGGCACATCAACCAAGTTAGTTGCATTAAAGCAATACATACCTTGTGAATTTTCGAGAACACCAAGGAAATTGGAGGACATTGATAACTGGAAAGCAACAGAGCTTCGTCAATTTTTATTATATACTGGTATGGTGGTACTGAAAGATCAGTTTCCATATGAAAAGTATTGCCATTTTTTGAGCCTGTCAGTGGCAATAAGAATATTGGCCAGTGAAAAGTATCTGGAATATGTGGATTATGGAGAGAATCTCCTAATTTTTTTTGTTCGGGAATACCAAAATTTTTATGAATTGCATGATGTTACTTACAATGTTCACAATCTACTCCATTTGGCAAATGAAGTGAGAGTATTTGGTGTTTTGGATAAATTTAGTGCTTTTAAATTCGAGAATTATATGTATAAATTGAAACAGTCACTTGAAAGTTCTGGAAGACCTTTGCAGCAAATCCATAACAGGATAATGGAACAGCAGTCATTACCTCAAAAAAAAATAACACCCTTACTGAGTCCTATTCTGACTATTAACAAAAATGAAAATGTGTCCTTGGCCTTTCAAAACTTTAGGCTGAAATGTAAAACTCCTGATAATTGTGTGTTGTTAAAAACTGGAGAAGTTGGCTTGACTAGAAATATAACTGAACATTGTGGGATAATAAACCTGAAAATTGAGGTTTTCAAAAATCCTAGAAGTTATTTTTGTGTACCTTGTGATTCTTTGTTGTTTGACATCAAACAAGTGGAAAATGGTGATGTGTTTCCATTGAAAACTTTCAGTGTGAAAGATGTCGAAAATAAATGCATGAAGTTGCCCCTTGGTGAAGAATCATCTTTAATCATACCACTTTTACACAGTTTCGATTATGTAGCTTAATCTGAAATTCGTATTTATTATTACATCCCATTACATATCATTGAGGTGTTTTACTATCTTGTAATCTTTATAACTAAGCAGTTTCGGACACATGTTCATGGGAATTGACAATGAACCGTGAAATCAACTTATAGTTCTTTGTCAACATTGTTCCTCACTGACTCGTTTTCAGATTACATTTTCAGCATCCTTTTCATCAATCATTTGCTATATTGTCACTGTTAATTTTCAATATTTTTGATCATCATTTATATCACTTTTTACAGGGTAATTTTTCAGCCAAAATGAACAAGCAATATTCTTGTATCATTTTTTGTAATGAATCTGATGTGAATGAAGAGTCAGTAGCTGAAGTCCCTATCACATGGCTAGATGAGACAAATACTATTTGTAAATGGCCTCCTTCCCCTGCCCTGGTTTCTTTATATATAAATAGATATAAGACACCCATGGATAATTGGATCTCCTACAATGTTAAAGTAACTGCTACTTTTGGTAGGTTCCATTTCAATTTACTGCAATTGATGCAATGAATGAAACTATTTTTTATAGTTAATTCTGAATTGAGCAGACCAGTGTTCGCTCATATGAGAATGAACAAGTTTTTGCTCAATTTTGAATGGACAAGTTTATACATTTGATTAGTAATAATATCATGTGAATTTCCAGCAACACTTGAAGAAGCCCGTAATTTCAATAAGGGTGAAAGTAATGTCAGTTGCAGTGGGCGTAGATTGGTGAAATCACCAGACATTTATAGCCCAGATGAATTTTTGGAACCTAGGAAAGTTAAAAGTATGTGTACAACTACTTTTTAGAGATCTATTGGATTGAACAGAGAGGACACTCAGTCCTCATTTATTTGATAATATTATGCTCCATAACTCTTTGTTCTCATTTTAGGACCAACTCTACCGCCCAATATTGACCATAGTAATATTAGACCCTTAGGTAAAATTAAACAATACATTTTAGGTGGTAAGAAACTGATCCTATTACATACTTTTTAGTGCAATCATACAATGAAGATTCTCCAGAGAACTATCCAGATAAGGTGTATACGGTGCTTCAAGGTAATTAATATAATAGATTGTTACATTGTTAGAATTATTTCAGAAACAGGCCAGGCTATGAGTACACAGTGAAATATCATACAGTCGAACATGTTTTCAGCTTTCCATCAGGAGATTTCTGAGAAGTGAATAAAATTCACTGTAATACCTGAAGAGCAGTTTGTGAATGATTCACGTTTAAGATTGTTTATAAAATGTCACTGTGTACTATAGTTTGGCCATCTTTTGTTTATATTCAACGTTATTATCAAGTACCTACACCCAACCATTCCCTCTTGAACTTGAATTAATTATAAAGCTATTACATACCTACCATCTTGGAAAAGGAACAGGGTTCTATACCTTTTCAAATGAAAATTGAGGCTTGTAATTTTCCAATTGAGAAATGAGATAAATAAGATACTTTTTTCATAGCAGGTCCAAACCGCGAATGTATTGAAAGTGAGGATGATATAAGTGAAGCTTCAGGATACAATTCTGAGCCCATCAGTTATCCATCCATGGAATCAGGTATGATCATAATTCAAATTTGAAAAACTACTTCTATTTTTTACACATCAAGAAATTCCAAACATGAAGAAGTTTTAGGATGTATCATAAATAGAAAATAATTTGTGATGGATTAATTGATTTCTGTTGAATTCTAGTTTGAATGAAACATCTTTTCAAGGAATCTATTAGACAAGTTCATATCTTCTAGAATACTAGGTGTATCAAAATTACAATTACTATAGGTGAATTGTATGTGGAGGGGAGAGTTTTTGCATCTTTTCCACTTTTCAATCACTTCCGGTTTCTTCAGAAATGGCTCGGGTTTTAAATTTCTAAATAGAACACCCTGTTTATTGTAACATTTTTGAATCTCCAAGACAATTCTGGATCAGTATGTGACATTTTCACGCCTGCTCCATTTGTCTGAAATTACTTTGAATATTTCAAGAAATTAAGCAACTAACTTTTTGCTCCTAAAGATTATGCCTTTGTTTGAATTGATTGAATGTTTTTATTATCCCAAAAAACATTGTTGTTTATAAATATAGGGATATATACAGATTTTCTATTCATGATCGTAGCATCGTGGAAGTGGAAAGCACCAACCCAATAAAATATCAATGGTCACTACGATGCTCCGATCATTTATAGAAGAACAATAATTATTGCACAATAATTGTTTTTTATGATAAAAAATAAAAATAAAAACTAATTATTATCCATTTCAAGTAATCACTCAAGTGTTGTTTTCCAAAAATGACTTGATGAGAATGACTGCAAAATATTATGTATTATGGTTTTCTAGGCAAACTTGACGAAAGTAAATTAAATCCAGTTATTTGATTCCTCATGTTCACATTTTTAATCCAATTGCAAATCAATTAGTTGATTAATCGCCATTTGAGAAACAATAGTTAGACATCACCAATATATAATTTTGCTAATTGGACTTATTCCTGTCTTTTTTCATTTTCCTTTTCAATATGATGAACCTTCCAAGAAATCACAAAAAATCTGAAAAAATGAAGAACACAAGGGTCTTGGAAAATGGAACATAGTAAACCTATTTTTTGTCATAGATGATTTCTCATATAATTTTTAAAACCTCCAATTCTTGACAGCTATCTGAAGAGTGAAAAAATGAAATATTTCAATTTTTCAAAATGATAATGGCTCGGATTTTTTCATGTTTCAGGCCCACATGTGGCATCAGTCAGTGCCCCTGCTGATATTTCCAAAGAAACACGCCCACATGTGGCATCAGTCAGGGCCCCTGATATTCCGAAAGAAACAGGTAATTTTTTTTGTGTACCCTCATTTGAATCCTCATTAATCATTTTCTTAATTTTCAGCAGAATCCTGTTTGAATGACAGGATAATAAATCTATTACTAGATATTAAACTGGAAATCGGTACTTTAACGAACAAACTAACGGAACAAGGACTGTTAAATGTAGAGAGTGACCCAATATTGGAAACTTTACCTCTGAAAAATCTAGAGGATTTTCGAAGTCTCGAAGGAAAAGTTAATACAGACCCAATATTGAAGAAGAAACTGGTAATTATTTTTCACTACATGAATTGTTTTGGTTGAGATTATTCCTATGAGGATTATATTATTCATATAGTATAACCCACTTGAGAATGAAGCACCTTGAAATCCACATTTTTTAATGATATTTTTTTTTGCCTAAAGTATCGAAAAGCCCTTAGTTCAAACTTCTTGACATCTCTAATTTTGATATAATTTGAAATATACAGGATGATATGTATTGGAGTAAATGTATAGTTGACTTATTTTCCAAATAAAACCAATATTATTATTCCATGAACGAATTGGAGATTATAATTATATCTCCGACAACCAGGTTTGATGGATGCATGAATGAATTTATGTTTTTTTTATTGTAGTACAAAACCTATGAGTCAATAGGCGGAAATGGCAGTAGAGATTTTGTGATAAGGTGTTTGAAGAGGTCATTCACAAATGAAATGGCTGAGCTTTGCTCATGGACAGGTCAGAAGGACAATTATAAAGTAGCTGATAGCCCAGTTTTGAAACTACTATACAGTAAGTACTTGAATTGAGTAGATGTTCTTTTGAATCTCATCAGAATTTTCTATTGATTTTAAAAATGTTGATATTCTAATGATATGATTCAGATAATTTTTTATCAATATATTTATATTTCATTGTCAAATAAAAATATCAGTTGTCAGCTTGCTCTATTTTTCTGACTACAAAGTTGAAAGATCAACCAGATTTCTGATATTTCTTGATTATAATAGAACTCATATGAACGAGTTAGGATCGATAGATTAGTATATAATTCACACAATATAGATAGACCACTATTATACTCCTGATAATAAAATAAATTATATTATTTTAGTGGCAGTTAAGAAGACAACTGGGGTGTCAGAAAAAGATTTCGAAATCTGTGTCAAGGACTGGCTGCGACATGCAAAACAAAGGAAAGAGAGAATGTTGAAAAAAAACAATGAATAGTGTTTGTTATTAGTTTTTTTATTTTTTTAGACAGAATTGTTGTTTTATTTCAAAATAAATTTTTATTTTCATGTTTCATCGAAAATGATCGTTTTGTTATTATCATGATCATCTGGTCTGGTAACATGTTTTATTGTTGAACATTAATTTTGATATTGGCCTGAAAGAATAAGGTTTATTCTGGTAGATTCAATATTCTGAAGTTTTGTTGCAAAAAGAGTGTTACTAACATGATTGTGCTGTCAACCTTTCAAAAATGAAAGTAAACACATATAGCTCAGCTATGGCTCCCTGATATTCAGCATGTCTCACTATAACGCCTCCCCCCCCACATATATCAGCTATTAGTTCGTGCGATTACTACCAAATTTGGACTAGTATGAATAACCATCAATACGATGATCGTATTGATTTTTATTCATACCAGTCCAAATTTGGTTAAAATCGCACAACTAATAGCTGGGATATAAGTGGGCGGGGTGGGGGGGGGGGTTAAGGTGAGTCATGCTGTATAAACCGAGTCAGCAGCAGTCCCCAGTCCTTTTATTGAATTTTGATACCCATAAAGAGGTCTAATATGAGTTCCAAAGGGATTTCAAAAGTAAGTATTTTTTCAATATCACATAGCATGCCAAAAGCGAAATTTTAGTTAGATTATAATTGAATCTATCATTGAGGTTAGTATGTGCACTTCATGTGAGGTGAAAAAAGAATGATATTGCAAAGTCTCCAAGAAAAATCTCATTCAAAGACTGAATGTAGATATAGATTTCACTACTGAAGTTGATATTTGAATAATAACACAGAAATGATGTCTTATTGAAATCATAACTGAATCTCCTATTTAAATGGATACTATGTTCTCTATGTGTGCGAAAAAGGGAATAGAATAAAGATGTCTCGAGAAAACCTCCCATGAAACTACTCGATGTGGTTATTAAAAAAACATTTATTGACTCGAAAATGTCCACAAAGTGACAACAGATGGATGTTTTATTGAAGCTATTTTTCCAAATCTCGTTTTGATCAACACAATGATATGAAATGCGCACTTGATGTCGCGGACATTTCGCAGCAAATGCGAGCGGGAGGCAATGTTTTTGGTATATCGCATGCGAAGTTTTAATCACAAAGTTACTTCCATAGTACTTCACAGTTACTTCCTTGTGTTTGCTGGGTTGAAAATATACAAGGGCTCCAATTCTAAATATGAAATACAGTGCTTTGAAATTCAAGAAGGTTGCCAATAAATATAATTGAAACTCGGTTGAAGACGCCCTTAGGCACCATCCGCGGCATCAAATCTTGTCCTTTTCTGCCTAGTGAAACAAATAATGAATCGTTTATTACAGAAAGGAACTATCTAACATTTATGACTCATCGAGAAAAACGATAAAAACTGATTAAATGGTCGACAGATGATTCTTCGAAGTTAATTTTTTGTCAGTTTGTGGTATATACGAGTTTATAGAGATACGTTGTATCGAGAATTTCAAAGGTTTCATTTCAATTAATGTAAATGGTTTTGAAAAAAATTGCAATCAGTTCCTTTCTGAAATAAATGAGCGAGGGAATTGAGGAGAGTTTTGTCACATAGCCGCTGTTCTTAAACGGAAAAACATACGTAGATACCTATATAGAACATGACATAAAAAGATATTCATGATACAGTTTATTTCTTCTTGAAGACTTTTGTTTTCCAATTGAGGATTCCATTATAAGAAATATGGTATGGTTCTGGAATATATGCCAATAATTTTCGCAGGTCCCTTATTTTGCTTTCCACAATTGGGACTGAATAAGCCTTTTTCTTAGGCATTTCCAGTGGAATTCGCTCGTGACTTCTTGGCATATTGAGTTCAAAGGTGTGATAAGTGAAGCCTTTGATGAATTCTGAACAAACAACGTACCCAGGAGTGCTGGCGTCGTGAATAAAATGGTGAAATTTGAATAGTGTGAATGATTGTTTTGGTCCCTAGGGATATCTTTCCTTGAAGATTCAAGAGAAATGGTATTTCTTTATAAAACTTTGGCCATCAAGATTTGAAGTCGATAATTTCTTCTGTAGAAATTTCCTTTATAGAAAAATCATTTCGAGCACTAGAAGAAATAATTTTGTCTGTGTATTCATGAACAGAATATTCGATCATACTTCTTCGAACGTTTCTTTATCAGTCCAAAGTTACGATCATTTGGCAAGAAAGAATGACCCCTTATGGGATAAAACTGTTCCACTTTTTTCAATCTCCCAGATTCAGTTAAAGCTGCACACATAGGTACGTACCATCGTATGATTTTCATTTTGTCCTGGACAATTATCGCTGAACAGACGCAACTCTTGAACATTGCCTGGTATTTCACGCTGGATATAATCCCATGGTAAAGAACATATTTCGCTAGGACCCTCGTTAGCAACACCTTCATGATAAGATAGAAGAATGCCTGTCCAGTCTTACAGTTGTGTATTCCAAAAATATTTACTGTCAGTTGGGTCAGATAAAACACTTCTTGAACGGGAATCTCTGGTAAGTGAACATTCTGCATATAGTCGAAAGTCAACACAGCCAAATCTTCAAGATTCTCACATTCATCTGTGGATTTATCCAAGGGAGTGAAGAATTTTTTAGCTCGTTTTTTGTTAACAATAATTTCGGCAATAGCTGAGCGTTTAACTGCCTCTCCAAGTTGTAGGACTTTTTATTTTGACATTTAGTTCTTCACACTTGCAGCAGGTATCTACCTGAGGTCGTCCAAAATGTATATTATAATGTCCATAGAAATATTTCACGGAATAGGAATAGAGAATAGGAGATGCAGGATGTTTTTCTTTGAAAAGGTTGAACATATATATAAAGAAACACTAATAATGCCCTTGGAACAAATATTACAAATAGAACAATGCAAATACACTTACAAAATACAAAAAAATCAACAAAAATGTAAAACTAAATTCAACTTAGTTAACGAAACTCACACATATGAGACTAGAAATCAAAATAATTTTTACTTTTCAAATGTAAGAACAAACTTGGCATTAAATAATCCTATATACAAATGTCTAGAAACTTTCAACTCTTTGCCAAATCCTGTGAAAAATATAGATAGCTATTCTTCATTTAAAATAAACTTGATTCAGCACATAAATCAACAAACTACTGTACTATGATATACTTAAGATTGTAATTGTTGTTGTTTGTGTATAAGTATATTAATGTATACTAATGTATATTATGGTAACTACAGAAATTGTTATTGAATCATATGTCAATTATAATGTTCCGTCACCAGCATGTTGCTGATTAGGAACAAAATGCTAGATGTATTTATTAATATGTATGCTAAAAATGGTTTAATAAAAAAATAATAATCTTCACATTCAGTTTCGCATCGAGATATTTGTAGGTTTATTGGAGTAATGGGTTTCCTTCACCAGAAATGATTCAATATGTTCACTTATCAAAATATTTTCTCGTTCTGGAATACAATTTCCTTTTATATTTTCTTACCTCTTTCACCACAGGGAATTTGACCCCCTTTGAGCAAATTCTCTATTCGCTTCAATCTTTTGATAGTGATGCCAAATATGCTCAGGAATGCATTTTGACAAATTTTGTGCTTTCTGCCCTGAATCGATGCATAGTGATGAAAAGAACAGGTTTTTCTCCCCGAATTATTTCTTATGTCGGCCTTAGACCTCCTTTTCACATTACAAACTTCCAGTAAACCTTGTAGGTATATATCTTGCTCATTTTTTGTTTGCAGAGAATAAAAGTTGGTGATTATTTCTCTTCTCAAATTTTCCGTTATCTTCTTGAAGCATTTTATTGGGCATCTAGAAAGAACATATGCATGACTGCTGCATGCTATTTTAACTTAGTTTGAAACTTACCGGCATGCATTATACCAATTTTATTCTCTTCGCCACATCATTTTCTCTGTAATTTACATAACTCTTTCCATGCACTCTAGAATTCCTGATAACATTGCGTTTGTAAGATTCATCATTTCTAACTCTTCTTTGGCTTTTTCTTGATTCTGTCCACAATACTCTCATGAGAATGATCACTTTCATAGTCGTATGCCATTATATTTTATGACAGAAACGTAAGATAACCACAATAAACTTGAGAAATCGCCAACGAACCACATAAACAAATAGGTATATCCAATGAAGAAACAATAGGTCGCGTGCAAGAACTGTCAGATGACCGACCCTGGAGGCAAAACATTGACATACAACGTCACTTTTCTTATTTGTTTACAAGTGATCGAAATAGTTTTTCACAATTATTTTGGCATAGGAATCGTATTTTTCCGCTTTTCATCAATTCGCTCATGCCATCACATTGTGCTGTTGTAAAATACACAAAAACTGCAGCGGAAGATGAAGGAATCCGGATGGTACATTATGATTCAAAAGTAAGTACCTACTATAGTAACTCACATAAAGTTTTCATTTTTGGAATTTGGTTATTTCTCTGATTTCTCATCGGAATTCCTTCTGCAATGAGAGCTAATAGAAATATACCTGAAATTTCTAGAATAATGCAAGAAGATTGGATTCATGCAATCAATCGGGAGGACTGGTCTGACATGCTGACGAATCTGACGATCGTGTGTGTTGTAGACATTTTCAATCTATTAGCAGTATTAGCTTGTATTGCAGAAGTGGCAGAAGGCAGAAGGAATTTTAATAAGGAATGACAACATTTCATAATGATAACTATGTGAGATTACTATTTACCTGAAAAATCATATTCCCTAGTCTCTTGCTGCATTTTTTGTGCATTGTACAACAGCACAATGCAAAGGCATGCTTGAACTAATGAATAACTCAAGAAACACGATTCGTATGCCATCAAAATATTGTGAAAAACTATTTCAATCCTTTGATTCCACTGTAACCAAATGAAAAAGTGAGGTTAATTGTGTTTCAATAATTCACAGAAGAATGAGGTTGTGTTTCAATATTTTGCCTCCAGGATCGGTCATCGTGCACGCGACCTATATGAAATGGAGAAGTTAGGTTAGGAATATCACATGAAGGTAGCCGCCCCGCAAGACTGGACTGTTCATTTGAGAAGGGGCCTATCCAGCGCAGCTTGGCTCCTTTCTGCAACGAACGTCCAGTAGAACAGTTGAATCTCATGCCTACAAGTATTGCCAAATAGTTCTTTTCTGCACTGATAGGTGCGTCGACGCTTTATTTTTTTCAAGTCTTCAACCTCCTGAATCTCAATTACGGTTGTCTGTAAAAATATACACAAGGCCTCATTTTATCTTATCACTCCAATTTTTTCAAATAAGGTTCTGCAATGAACAATAATTGATTAACTGGCGAATATTTACCGAGATATATATTTTAGGGTTCTAAAACTGCTTCTGAAAACATGCACCAATACTATCGAGTATTTTTCTGTAGGTCGAACGCGTTTTACTAGTGACAATTTCAATAAAAATATATCTATATCAACCAAATAAATAGGTGATTCATCAGATACTGTTATTTGTATTTTCATTGATTTATTGACAAATTTCATTGAGGTGACACCCCGTATATCCAAGCAAATAGTTCGTGCGCTACTGATTTGGAGTAGCAGATCATAATATCAAAATTATTTGCCTTCATAAGATATTTTCTGACGAAATAACTGGGACAAGAAATCAATATTTGTAGAAAATTAGAAGAATGAATGAATGAATGAATGAGTGTTTATTTACAAGAAGCATTTTTACAAAAAATGGGTAACATCCTGTGGCCTATGTCTAGGTGATATAATAAAACCCAACTCAATTGACATGAACAGACAGTAAATAAACAGAAGGGGATACCCGACTAAGTTCATTGAAGAACTTGTCTCCGGGAGATCACAATCAATTAATTTTCACTATCTGGAATGCGTCTACTTTATGTTATTCTAGCCAAATGAAGTTACCTGTAGAGTTATACAAACCAAAGTGAAAGTATCCTACAAAACTAGGTAGACTTCAATACTTGAAAAGAGTTTTTTTTTTTTTTTTTTTTTTTTTTTTTTTTCCCCTATATACTATATGCGAATACACACATAATTTTGAATTTATAATACATATATGTATGGGTAAAAACAATGAATACTCAAGAAAAGAACTGAAAAATAAGCATTTTTTATGAGATTTCGAGAATATTTGTTTAAAGTCAATAAATATTTCTCA